TGCATTGGCAGGCGGACTCTCAACCACTGCACCACCAGGGAAGCCCGATACTTTTTAAGTTATCAAGCAGTGATGTATCATTCAGTAGTCATTTAAGATAGTTCTAGTTTCCTAATTTAGTTTTCCCTGCTCCCTACTATGAATGGATTTTGGTTGGTGATAATAGAATTTGGTTGATGTAAAACAATGAGTTCTTTGCAAACCTGTAGTTTTTCTGTTATTCACTAGCTGGAAATCCTTTATACTTCTGGTTAAAAATAAAATTGGTAAGCTTCAGATGGCATGGCCACTTAACATTTTTACATGTGATTTTTAGAATTGCCATCCACATTTTCATAGGATCATGTTTTACATTTCTCTGGATAAATTTTAGAAATAGTCATTCTTTGTTAGAAAGTCAGATAGGGATAAAGATAAAAATACATTATTTGATTCATTATTTTATATTTGGAATTTTTAAAGGTAGGGGAAATCATAAAATAAAATAATAAAGAAGAAAACAGAGAAAGATTCTGTGATTCAAGGAAGGGGAAAATTAGATTATTTGTGAGCTCCACAAGAACAAACGTCAAATCTGTCTTTATTTACCAGACCAACAACTTTCAGTTCATCTCTGGCTTCACAAATTTTCTTTGAAACAAATCCTTCTTAAGTTTTTTTTTTATTGATTCCATTGCTCTGCTGTGTATAAGTGTGGGATTTGTTAGGATGTTTATCAAAACTGACAGGGTGGCCTGCATAGTCAGAATATTCATATCTAATAATGGACATTGTATGAACTATCTGAGGATTCTTTTTTGACGTTAGTCCTTACCCTGGCAGATAATTAGGAGCTTGGGGGTTGGATTTCTGATGAACCAGAATAATGTCTTAAAAAATTTTTTTTTTTAATATAAAGAAACAAACAGTAGCATTTTCCTTATGGGTACACCTTTATATATTTTAATAGTAAGATGGACAAGTTAGGCCCTCCACTTCGAACTGGAAGACATGTGCAAAGGTTGCATGACAGTGATACAAAATCAGACAGTGCCATCAAAAGACATGAGTTATTACCCATTTACAAGTAAGTATTTGTAACTCAGTTTGATTAATCTTTTTCAGATATTTCCTTAAAGGCTTTATATAATGGAATACTATAGATTTGTACATTCCTATACTTAATTTTTTTTTATTTTAATCATTTTTAAGCCAAGAAGTACTAAATACTCTTCTAGGATTTATCACACTTTGATTTTTGATGAACATTTCTATTGTCCTAAATCTGTTTTTAGAGCTTTCATTTTATTCCATTAAATTTTAATTTTTAGGGGGTTGAAATAGGAGTCACCTTCAATAATTGTTATTTTTATGAAGCTCTATTTTAGGAGTAACATTTTTTAAAGAAGAATATGGTGAATATTACATCATATATAACATTGTTAGATTATCTTTTAAGCAGATGATAAATTATTATAAAAAAGCTGGAGAAAAAAGAAATCTTAGAAAACATTCAATCCAGGATCCTCAGTCTTTTTGTTAGATGGTTACAGATTCCACATAAAACAGGGAAAAGGTTATGACACTGCCAAGCACACTCCCCTCTGTGTACTGGCCTAGCAGACTGAGTGAGGCAAGAGTGGCAGTGGCAGTCTTGGAGCTCTCCTGCACAGGCCTTCAAGGTTTACTAGTTTGGACCCCCAAACCAAGTCTAGCCCTCTCATCTTACAATGATGAACTTAGGGTCTCATAAGTTAAACTACTTATTAACATTGAAAAATATGTTGTTAAATAGAGTTTACTTAGTTAAATTTTAAACCAAGGCCCACTACAACATTCTCTTAACACTAGATTATAATAAATTTAACTAGATATACAATAAAACAAAGATGGGAAAAGTCTTTGATGCATTAGCAGCTGTCATGTGTTATTTTTAAGTAGTTAGTGATAAATCCTAGAAGGAAAAATTTGTGCCCTGAGCCTTTTTCTTTGTACTCCAGCTCTCTGTACCCTCTGAAGCAGATCTCAAAGAAACAGTGATTAGCAGTGAGGTAGATTAAGTGCAGTTCCAAAATTAAACCTTCTTTGTTATTGCTTGAACTACAGCAGGCAGAATATAGATACATAATATGGGTGGCACTTTTCAGACTCTGGCCAGGAAGAAACATGTGTTGACCATGTGAGACTGGGGCAACGTGTTTTAAGTACTGCTCAAAATGGTTCTAGTTCTCCAGTCTCTTAAGAATGGTTCTCAGCATTCCGATTCTACTTCATAGATGTTACTAAAAGTACACGATTGGCATTGAATAATGGCAGCTGTAGTTGATAACCTTATATTTTTCTCTAATTTTTAAAATTTTCTAATTATTTGAATAACTATTGATAATGAAGTTGTGTGTGTATACGCATGGGTTTGTTTGCATTATCTATGTATCTCATATACATATTATATGAAGGTGATAGGATTTCTAATAAGACTTTATTCTAGAGCCCCCCCAAAAAAGAAATGTGTCCTTCCTGATTCTCTTATAACTCTTATTACTTGGAGGAATTGCCATCCTTTGGCAATGAATTTTCAGAGATTGAGATCCTAAAAAGGCATGTGATAGTTCCACAACATCCCTAGAGAGGCTGTATAAAAGTAGAGTAGAATACACCTCATGGATGGAGTTGCATATTGAATATAAGATTTGTAATAAGACCCACCTAAATTCAAGTTCAAACACTCTGGCCATGTAATAGCTTTGCACTTTACTTAATCTCTCTGAATATGAGTTTCTTCAACTTTAAAATGGGAATAATATCTTCTGAGATTTTTGTGAAGATTAAAGAAGCAAAGTATGTATAGTACCTGGTATCATATTTGGCATGTAATGGGCATTTGAAAAATAGTAGATGTTGTTATTTCCTGCATGTATTTTGGAGATAGCCCTTTAAAATTTTGGGAGACTCTCTCCAACTTTGCTGTATAAGTAGAAAAGGAAGAATTTTAGCCAGTTTGAGAAATTCCAATATAAAGGCATGTTTTTAAAGTATCCTACTTGATCATATAACACAACATTGCTTATCTCTGAAATGAAAAGATTTGACTAAATTTCTGAAGAGTGGGAGGGAGCTAACACTGTATTGAACATCTTACCCCTGGTTCTGCAACATACTGACTGTGTCTGTCACCTTGGGTAAATTACTCTTTGCCTCAGTTGCCTCCTTTGTAAGATGGAATTATTAATCCTTCCTACTTCATAGGATTATTTCGAAGATTAAGTGAGTTTTATACGAAGGCAATTAGAAAAGTAGCTATACCAAACGTAGTAAGCACTGTTATATAAATGTTAATTTGTAGTAGCAATAGCCATAGTAGTAATAGTAGTATTACCACCATCAACTATGCTAAATGTTTATAAAAATTACAATTTATATATCTAACTTTCTGTAAGATAAGCGATGGTGGTCATATTTTATAAATGAGGGAACTTGGAATCAGAGAGGTTGCCACTACTACAGAGTTGTTCAGAAGCAGTTGGAATTTGAATCCAGATTCATCTGAATTCCAAAGCCTATACTTTTACCATTATTACCTCATATAGTTTACAAGCTTTCTTTGATTCTGACAGTTTCAGAAAAAGGGAATTCAGTTATGATCCAACCACAGCTTCTTCTTTACGGGTAACAGGTAGCCCAGGCTGTATAGTTGGTGAAATTAAATCTTTATATTAACCCACTTATTTTAGTTGCTCTTTCCAACAACAGACTTTCGTAAATAGAATATTATCCTTTTAAAATGGTTAGCTGATTTTTTTAACCACACCTCATACGGTTTTAACATTATTATTTAACAGTTATTCATAGGCATTTAACGAAACACATCTCTATTTTGAGGGAACTACAGATTTTAACTTTAAAAAATTTGAAACCTTTTAGAATTAATTAACTTATAAATTTCATCTAAAGAATATATACATATGTCAAATGATTTTATGTACCATCAAGATAATGTTAGTAAATGCAGAATACTTTGGTTTATCCTTAGTATTAAGGATTTCAGTTTTGAAATAATCATTTGGATTTTAATCTTTTGAATTTACCTCTCTACAGCTTCTAATTATTATTATTATTTTTTATTGGAGTATAATTGCTTTACAATGTTGTGTTAGTTTCTGCTGTAACATGAAGTGAATCAGCTATACGTATACCTATATCCCCTCCCTCTTGGACCTCCCTCCTACCACCCCCTCCAGCCTCCCCCATCTAGGTCATCACAGAGCACCGAGCTGAACTCCCTGTGCTATATAGCAGGTTCCCACTAGCTCTCTGTTTTACACATAGTAGTATGTTTATGTGAAACCTAATCTCCCAATTCATCCCACCCTCCCCTGCCCCCTGTGTCCTCATGTCCATTCTCTACATCTGCGTCTCCATTCCTGCCCTACGTATAAGTTCATCTGTACCATTTTTCTGGATTCCACGTATATGCGTTAATGTACAGTATTTCTCTTTCTGGCTTACTTCACTCTGTATGATAGACTCTAGGCCCATCCACATCCTTCAAATGACCCAATTACATTCCTTTTTATGGCTGAGAAATATTCCATTGTATATATGTACCTAATTATTTTTCTAATCATGTAAATAAGCAATTTGAGAAAGAAATGCTTACTATTCAGTAGGTTTTTCATTATGCCATCTCTTTCTCTCTTCTAGAGCTAACATCAAACCTAGAAATTCCACACCACCTAGTTTGGCTAGAAATCCTGCCTCAAGTATGCTTGCAAGCAAAAGAAAAACATATACTGAGAGCTACATGGCCAGGTATGTTTAGCTCTGATATTCTAATAACTAAAATAAAAGTGAATATATGCTGCTTTTCAAGGACCATATACAAAAATTTCTATCAGGCTATTTATAGAAAATCTAATTTTTCCTTTGCTATATGATTTAATTTGGCTTTTATGTTATACACTAAAGAAATAGTTTGGGCATAAATAATGTTTTCTTATACCTTATAATCTTTATGGTAAATACTCAAGGATGTTTGTTCATTTACAGTGGATGCATTTGTTTTTTATGTCTTAATTTTAACTGCAACATGCTTATTTTTACCTCTAGAAATTGAATAATTGACTATTTACACCACTGCTATTATAATTTTCAGCAGCGTTTTAATACATTTAAATTCCCCTGCTGAGATTGTGATTATCTATGTACTTCCCTTTCTAATCTGTCACAGTATTTGTACAGCTTCGATATTCACTCTGTTTTTAAGCATATAATGAAATCATTTCAGTTATATTTATTTTTTATATGTATCCCAATTTATTCCAGAAAGTTTTAAGGAAAGGTACAGAAGGCCATGATGTATAGTGAGATACAGCATTTTTTTTTTTTAAATGAAGGAAGAATAGGAAAAGGAAAGATGAGAATTAAAAGATACAGTGGAAAAAGGAATGGGGTTAGTCCACAAAATGTGTGTTATGAGACCCTGGAGATGGACTAGTCCTGGGCCACAAAGTGGAGTTTGAACTTCGTTTTAGGAGCCGAAGTACAGGAGAGGATAGGAGTAGTTACATGATTCATGATGTCTAAAACAGAAAACTAAATCACTTTCTCTGTGAAAGTACAACTAGTTCTGAGGCTTCAAAAGTTCTCCTTTGATTTCTCTTAAGGAGACACTGGATAACTTAATTGTTAACTTCTTAATTAACATCCCTACTGAATCCATACTAAATATATGGCAGTGGATTTCATAGGGTGTTTTTTTTAAGATGCCCTCAATGCAGGCCTATAATGTGACATCCTATGATTCACCAAAACCAGTTGTGATGTGGGTGTGTTATGTGTAACTGTATATATTGTCTGCTTTTGTTTTAAGTATGTAACATGTACATAGTCATTATTCAGATTTAATCCGGGGATAGATTTTCAAGTATCTAAGATGCTAGCTCTCCATCCTGGTTGCCCATTAAAAAGAAGCATCTGTGGAGCTTTCTGAAAATGAACACGTCAGTGTCCCTCCCTGAGATTTTGATTTCTTTAATTTGGAGAGTGGGATCTGGGCATCTGCCATTTGGAAAGTTTTAAGAGTGATGCCTATGCATAAGATGAGGACCGTAGAGGAATTGGTGAATTGCTGTCTTTTCAGCTAGATTCTTTAATAAATATTGTTTGTCTCACCTGAGGTTTTAATACATGTTAAATATCAAAGAAGTGAACTTATGTTTCTTAGAGTCCTGGAGTGTGGTTGTACTATGTTGTTGTATATGTGTGGAACCATGTGTTTTGAATCAATGCTGAGTATAAGATTAACATTCATATAAAATGGAAAACTTAATAAATACATATGATTGAATAAAAGGATCATTTTATCTTTCCAAAGAGGTGGACAAAAGAAGTGTCAACAAGCAGGAGCAAAAATCACATTAAAAAATGTTTGGCTTATTCTTTTTTTTTTTTACTTTTTAGAGCTTTATATGTGATAGGAAGACCTCAGCCTTACTCACTTGACTTATACTCTGTCCCCAACCCAGACAGAAATATAATCTGTTATAACCATAACAGATAGAGAATTCTCAGAGATTTACTTTTCTGGCAGTGTGATAGACTACATTTCCAGGACAACCCCTCCCACCCAAAACACCTAGAAATGCTGGATAAAAAAGAAAAAATATCTTTCTGAATGTATAGCTTAGCTCTCAGAAAAGTAACGGGAACTTCTATAGAACAAAAATGTAAAGGAAGCTAGAGGTCAAATTGTAAATTAACTGTGACACTGCAGCTACATTTGAGGTTTTCAGTGATCTTTACTATGTAGAGACTTGGGTTTTAAGGTCATTGTGGGAGAGAGGAGTTGACTTCTTGGACTTGTACAAAATGGAGTGTTAAAAACAACTTTTCCTTACCCTTCCCGCCGTTCCCGCCGTGCCTCTTTCTCTAAGCCAAGACTTTTGAAAGGTTCAGTAAGGAGTCTTCTTAGACTCAGCCAGAGTTACTTATATGACAGTATATTACATTTGTCACTGGAATTGTTTACAGAAATATAGGATGATAGCAGGGCAGTGTCAGGTGTTTCTCTTTCATGGGAGCCCTTGCAGTGGTCCTGGAGCTCGTCTTCCTTGGCTGTCTAGCTGACAGCTTAGGTATGAGAGAATAAGTTCTCATAGGTGGGTGTAGGGACAGTTTAATGAGAAATCCTTTGTCCCCAGAGGGAACCAGTATCTCATATAACAGTTTCGTAGGCATAGCTTCCAGGTTATCCTGATTGAGATATCCAGTTTCAGTGGACTGCTTATACACACCGTTGCCTAGAAACATGGCTGGCATTTCACCTATGTTGGGTTTTCATTAAACAGAGCTAGGAAGTTATCCCAAGGTCAAATATGTCCACAGAAAAGGAGAAAGAGTGTGTTAACCCTTCTCTCACAGTATTCAAAGGGTTATCTCTCAGTGAAAGGATGAACTAGGAAAAAAAAATTTTTTTACCACCCAGGAATAGGAGACTCCAAGGAAACTTGTCTGTCTCTCAGCCATGGCTCAGAGGGATGTGAGAATTCCCACCAGTAATTCATAACTATAGGCACACCTTCCCATGAGTTTAAGGTTTGAAAGCACAACATCTGCATATTCTAAGAAATTCTTAACTGAGAAAATAAGTTAGATACTCTTGGTTTAAGAGCTTCCTTGGAGCTTGTAAAAGCAAAAGCAAAAAGAATCATCTCTGGTCTGAAATGCTGTTAACCCAGGGCTCCTGATTCTCACAGGTAAACAAACATGAGCTTGCAATTCTGAATTACAGAACACACATGAAAATTTCAAACTGTACAAGGAAACAAGGAATCAGTCATGAAAGCAAAAAAACGAACACATGTGCCCATGACTTATGATACTGAAATCATCATAATTATGACTTGTAAAATAAGTCAGTTTGAAGTATATAAGGAAATAAGACAGGGAATTGAAGTCACTAACAGTGATAATATACTATCAAAAAAAGATTAGAACCAAACAACTCAATATAAGGGAAAAAAAACCTCAAAAGATGGTGTTTAAATTGTAGATTAGACTCAGCTGAAGAAGAGAGGAGTGAACGAGAGGAAAGATTCAAAGACATTATCTACAGTGTAGTCCTAAGAGAAGGAAAGCGTGAGAGAGATTAAAAATCATAGGTGGTAAAATAAGGTCTAAGATTTGTTGAGTCAGAGGTCGAAAGAAACTAGAGTGAGTGAGAGGCAACATTTGAATAATTTATACCTGAAAATAATCCAGGATTAATGAAAAACATGAGTTCTCATAATCAAAGAACAACAATCCCAAGCAGGACAAATAAAATGAAAACAACATGTAGATGCATTGTAGTGAAACTTGGGAAGACAGACCATGAGAAGGTCTTAAGAGCAGCCACAGAGAAAAGACGTTACTTAGACAACGTGAGGATCACCCAGCTAGTACAGAGCTCACTTGCAACACTTGGAGCCAATAGACAATGGAATCGATCCACACATTCAGGGTGCCGACGGAAAATAACTGTGGACCTTTGATTGTTCACCAGCTGAACCAGTGGTTCTCGAGCTTTAATGTGCATCAGAATCCCCTGGAGCACTAATTTCAGCACAGCTCGTTGTACCCACCTGAGAATTTCAGAGTCAGTGGGTCTGGAGTGGGGCACAGGTTTGCATTTATAGTAAATTCTCACGTGATGCTGATGCTGCCAGATTAAGGACATCACTTTGTGAACCACTGAGCTATACTGTCAGTCCAAGAATGAAAATGAAATAAAGCTGCTTTCAGACAAAAAATATGGAGAAAATTTACCAGCTGTAGACCGTGACTAAAAGAACATTCAAAGGGAGTATCTTGGGAAAGAGTAAAGCATCCAGAAGAGGAGGAATTTTGCAAGGCGGACTGGTGAAGAAATCAGTAATTAAATAAATCTAAACTAATAGTACATGAAATAATAAAGATAAAACAGAAATTAATGAAATAAAAAGATTATAATGGAGACCATTAAGGAAAAAAACTGGTGGTCAAATAGGAGCTTCCTCCCAGATGGTGCTCAGCAACTGCTAGAGATCCTGATTAGACCAGTAGATCTGAATCTTGGCTTCTGTATCTTTGTTGGCAGGAGGTAGAGAGGGAGCTTCAGGATTCTGTGTGGTACTTCACCTTTAATTAATTCAAATTCTCATCAGCCTGCTGTCAGCAGGTTGAATTTTGTCAGGCCCTTTGTTCTAATTTACTTTGTTGTCACAACATGCTCCAAACTCTTTGATTCTTCATCCCCTCTACTGCAATCCTAATGGCTCTGACCAGTCTCTGCCACCCTGTACCATGTCCTCTTTGCTTTATTGTTTTCTAGCTGACATGCTATATATGCTATTTATGTTGTTTCTTCTCCATAAAACTAAGCTCCCTAGGCACAGGGATTCTTATGTTTTGTTACTGCTCTTAACTCTAGGATCAAGAGGAGTACTTTACGTAAACTAGGCTCCCAGTAAATATTTTTAAATGAATAAGTGAATGAATAACACATGATGAAGACTCACAAAACGAGAAGGTTGGTTGATTTAAAATGATAAACTTCTCAAGATGGATCAATAAAAAAGGAGAGACGGTACAAATAATATGCAGAATGAAAAGAGGAATGCAACCACAGATGCAGCAGAGATTTAAAATTATAAGAACAACTTTTTGCCAATAACTTGAAACAGATAAAATGCACAATTTCCTAGAAAAATATAACTTTTGAAAACTTATTTCAAATGAACTAGAAACTATAATCATTAAAGAAATTGGATCAGTAATTAAACTGTGCTTGCTTCCTCACTACACAAGTGCACATACACACACATACAGTATACACACACACACACACACACACACACACACACAATGGGCTCATGATAGTTTTATATAGTAAGTTCTACCAAACTTTTCCAGGTGAGTGAGGTGAAAAACAACATTCTTCAACTTCTTTTCACAGGTTAGTGAAACCTTGATATCCAGACTAGTGAGAGAATGCAAAATTATGATCAGGCTTACTTATAAACTTGAAAATACATATAAAAATCTCCAAGAAATTTATCAAACCCAAGCCACAGACGTCAAATTCATGACACTAGATTCATCACAGAAAATGATTGATTTAACATTAGAAAAGTCTATTAATATAATTTTTCACATCAACAGATGGAAGGGCTAAAAAATATTCGTCAAATAATAATATATGATTTACCACCTATTTTTGATTTTTTTAAAAAAAAGCTCTTAGAAAATTGGGAATAGAAGGGAATGTCATTAAATTGACAAGAATGCTAGATTTACTAGAACCCTACATCATTCTTCATATTTAGTGGTGGCATGTAAGCATTTTCTGTAAAATCAGAAACAACACAAGAATGTCGGCTATAATTTCTATTTTAATCTAGCTAGTGTAGTAAAAAAAATTAAAATGACAAGACATGGAAATAAGGACACAAAACTGTTATATTTACATATATATTGTGATTATATATAGAATACCCCAAAAAAGACTAATTAATGAATAAATAATAATGAAGTCTTTTAATAAATTTGCTGGTTTTCTTATCATTATATTGAAAGTTATTGCAGTCTGTTTATCAGCAACAAACAGAAAATGCAGTCTTCAAAAATACACATGTTCTCTTAGATGTTCTCTTAACCTACCATGACTACATATAACTATACTTCAAGTGACTAAAATTCAAATCCTTTTAAACCTGCATGCCCTGCAGTAATGATTAATTATTGAAGTTACTGTCTATTAGGTGAGATGGTTTAAAATCCATTAATATGATTTCTTCTAAATCAAGTACATAGATATAAATGCAAGATTTTGCAAGGAGTTTTGCAAAATCACACACACACACACACACACACACACACACACTCACTCACTCAAGGTATTTAGGAATCAATTTAAAAACCAAGCAAGAAGTTTAATTTTGATGGAGAAAATTACAAAACTTCAAAGATGTTCAAACCTAAGTAGAAATATACCTTCTTTATAAAATAGAAAATTCAATATTATAAAACTATCTATTCTCTCCTAAATCAGTGTATGAATTCTGTGCCATTTTCAAACAAACTTTATGAATCCTGACAAGTTCTTTTCATATGAAAGAACAAAAGCCTAACATTAGCCAGGACAAGTTAAAGAATAATGCATGAATGATTTATGGAGCTATAGTAATTAGTGTGATACTTATTCAAGGGTAGACAAATAGAACAATGGATCATGATGGAGTGGTTAGAAAAAGACCCCATGGATTTTGTTTAATCTGAACTAGAAGTATATTAACAATGAGATTAAGCAAGCTTTTAGTTACACTTAATATTATGTTCTGTTTCCCAAGGCTTACAGATTGAAAACTACTGACATGAACTTTGTGTTTCTACTTTCTTTCTGTACCTCTTCAGGCCAGATGGAGACTATGTCTCTTCACTTAATGGTGGAAACATTAAAGGCATTGAAGGAAACTCAGTGGGACACTTACCAAAATTCTGCCATGAGTGTGGGACTAAATACCCTGTAGAATGGGCAAAGTTCTGCTGCGAATGTGGCGTTCGAAGAATGGTTCTGTGAACAGAATCCAAAAAGAAAAAGAGCTGAGTCCAGAATTTTATGACTGTTGCTGCTTGGACATCTAGAGCACTTCCTCTAGTGATCTTGTGCTAAAATCATTCATAATACTTTTTTCAACAGTTTTTGGAGCATAATCCTTTAGCTGTGTAATGTGTATGTGTATATATGTGTGTGTGCATATACTGTATATAATAAATACCTGACAACCTAAACTGTGCCATACAAGGAGATATTCACTTATCAGTCAGAAAATAATTTCAAGTGGAATCATTAACTTAGGTATTACTTTTCTTTTGTTGTTAAAGCACATTAAGCATACCTCCACAAACTCTCAAACACTAGTGTTTAGCCCTTTAAGCTTTAGGATGATCATTACTTTGAGCAAAAAATCAGAATAAACATTTTTATTATTGGTGCCTATTTTCAGATAGTATCATTTAGGATGGGTTGCTTGGAATTTTGGAACTGAAGAGAATATTTTTAGTTACACTTAGTTATGTGAGGTCATTTTTCTGTAGAGCTCTTTAATTATTAATTTTATAAATATTTTTTAGAAGGAGAGGGGAAAAAACCCCCTATGGTCTCTGTTGCCCTTTACTCGGTGTATTATTGATTATATAATTTAGAGATCTTTGCTCAGTTCTTTAAAATGTAATTATGCAATATTTTTTCAGAGATACAAGGCTGAAAATACAGATGTATCTTATTCTAGTTATAGCTGAATGATTTTTTAACTCTGTATTAGTTGAACATATATTCTTTCTACTGCTAATTGTCTTCATATTTCACTTTTTTCCTTTCTTTTCCATAAACTCATGTCTGAACAGTAATTTTAATTTGCTACTTCAGTTTTGCAAAGTTTGCATATTAATTATTAATAGAAGATGCAAAAAACTTGCAAAATCTTGCATTTATATCTATGTACTTGATTTAGAAGAAATCATATTAATGGATTTTAAAACAAACCATCTCACCTAATAGACAGTAACTTCAATAATTAATCATTAGTGCAGGGCATGCAGGTTTAAAAGGATTTGAATTTTAGTCACTTGAAGTATAGTTATATGTAGTTATGGGTAGGTTAAGAGAACATCTAATTTTTCCTACTCATATTTCCTTTCTAGTGTTAAGCACTGAATCACCATTCACATCACAGTAAAAAGCCACTGAAAATGCATTGCTTTAATGGATAGCTGATTTATTATGTAATTAAACATTCACAAAAATGTAATTATTACTTCCTCTTTAACTTTGACTAAAATACCGCTTTTAATCATTGTCACTTTCAGTGTAACATAGTATTTAGTAGTAGACAACTTTGATTGCTTGTGCAGCCATATTCAGTAATTCAGTAGTAGTTTCTGTCGAATCAAACCTAACAGAGCCTTGGTCTTATTCTAAAGGTACAAGCAGATCTATTATAGGTAGTTTCTAACTTCTTATTTATGATTCTGATCAATTGTAAGGATCATTGTAGAAATTTGTGGCTTATAACTTTCTCTGAAATTTATTTATACATATACTTTATAATTTTATTCATTAGTTTTTTTGTTTTGATTTTTTGTTTTTTTTTTTCCATTTGGGCAGGTGATAACTTAGTAGTAATGGGGATTATTTACCTTATAGTTTCTTTCCTTTCTATTAATTTTTTTTCTGGTTGCCTTTATTCAGTCATATTGGTCAAAAGGAAGGGTCAAAAGTCCAAAAAATTTATTACAGCTTATTCCATCAATTAGAATAAGCTGTAATAAATTTAAGAGAATAATGTACATATTAGGATTCCATTTCAGTAGTTTGTTCTTCTGTTCTAATTATTATAAATCATATGAAGAAGAACTTCTAACTTTTGTCTTGATCTAGAATTGAGCACTGTCTTCTCTCAAATATATATATATATATATATTTTTTTTTTCTTGCGTTATGCGGGCCTCTCACTGTTGTGGCCTCTCCCATTTGCGGAGCACAGGCTCCGGACGCGCAGGCTCAGCGGCCATGGCTCACGGGCCCAGCCGCTCCGCGGCATGTGGGATCCTCCCGAAACGGGGCACGAACCCGCGTCTCCTGCATCAGCAGGCGGACTCTCAAGCACTGCGCCACCAGGGAAGCCCCTCTCAAATATATTTTTAAAGATCACATTTTTTGTCTGCTCAAGGAAAGGATAGGTGAATGAGCTTAAAGTGGCACATGTTTGTTTCTCACTGAATTTTACTGTGGCAAGTAAATGTTATAATGTACTACATGGAAATGGGTTGGTAAGAAATCATGTAATTCCAGAACCCAGAGATTATTATAAACAGTAAGTAGGTAAAATATAGTTATGAATTATGAACCATGATGCAATGTATTTAAATGCATTTTTATATTACTTGCATATATTATTCTCATGTTGATTTGTTGTGCAATAGTTCAGTTTTTAAGAAATTTTCCTTGATCTATGCATCACTTATTTTATTTTTATTTATTTTCACAAGTATTTTCCATTGTGGTAGGATAAAAATATGACTGTAAGCATAAATTAAAAATGTAAAAATTGCTTATGTAATATTCTGAAAGTTATTAGCTTGGAAAAGTAAGATTATTATGGCTGCTGTTGTCTCTTGTTCACTGTTTTTTAATTACAAATAATGTCTTCATTTTTGAACCTATTCAATAAAGACATGAAGCAAAAAAATGCTAGTTGGTTTTCACTGATGTCTTATCTTTTATCCAGAAACAGGTAGAAAGATAGGAATGTACTGAAATATAAAGAAAATATTCGAAGTCAGAATATAGACTTTTTAATGAGAAAAGAGTTTTCTTTGGCAGTTTTTTTGTGCTGTCAGCTTTTAAAGAAATTATTACTATTTTTTTGAATTGAAATGTTTTATAACTTCAAAGCATTATAAATATGTTTCTTCACAAGATTTTTAAGGCATAGAAACATTCTCTTCATAGCCAATAAAATTTAGCAGTTGAAAACATTAGAGAAATCAAGGTTGATAGGAAACATTATGGATATTTCTAATTAGGTAATATACAGTTCAATGGAAGAAGGTATTTGTGATGAATACTTAGTGATTTAGATCATCATATTTAAAATTTTAAACAGGAGCTGTCTCTAGTGAAAATATGATCAGATTAGACATGTTTAATTTGCACTCAATTTTCCTTAGGCTAGAGGTGGACACTTTCTACCATGAGTAGAAGCTCAGGGAATGAAAAAATAGTAGAATAGGTACATAGCTACAGAAAGTCAGCAGAACTCTTATGTCTTTATTAGCGTTGCAGATATATGTATTTTTATATGCTAAGTATATTTTCAGTTTTTTAATGGTAAGTGTATTTTTAGTACTAAGGTTGATTTTTTTCAACTGACTATGTTATTGCATAGAGCAGTGGAGAATCATTGAAACAAAGTTTATGGTAGCCACACATTTTTATTTTCATTTAGAAAATTTTTAGTTAAATATTATTGTCATGATATTCATTATTTCTATACAATTTTGCTTTTATATGTGAATTGCTTTTTTGCCACTAGAGGGTGCTTTTGGATAATTTATATTGCCAGCCTCCAGTTATTACTTGAAGGCCCCTCAGCAATAAGTATGATATTTTTTTGATAACGTGAAATTACAGAGATTTATAAGATGTAGTTTTTTGCTGTTTATTTTGTCGTGATTTTAATATCCCATATGTTTTTTTGTTGGTTTGTTTTTAAGAAACCTAGTGTAGCTCATTTTGGGTACCAGCCTGCTAGTTTTTGATAGAAATATTTCATATTAACACCTCACATAATTTTGTTGGCAAAATTATGTATCTCAAACATATTACTTATGCACATTACCAAATAATTCTTGTACTATTACTTTAACATTTCATCTTAATTGTATAACAGTTACAATCTCCTTTTAAGATGGGGATTTTTTTTTCCCTTCAATCAGCTAGTTATTATATCTAACATACGCAAGTGACATCGATTTTGATAGGAGCTAAATAAGTGGTTAGACCAACTAATATAAGATGCACAAAGCTAAAACTTTCCAAACAGTTTAAAAAATGCTTTACATATTCTTAAATCTATGAAATGCTAGGAATCAAGAGATATAAGTAAAATGTGATTTAGTTCCTGTCTTGAAGTTGATAATTTATTTGGAAAAGCTGTTATATAAACAGAAAATTACAACTTTGGACAAAAAGAAGGATTTTTTTAAATTGAAGTATAGTTGATTTACAATGTTGTGAAAGGATTCATCTTAATGGAACTTTTCCTTATAAAAGTACCAAGAAAATGCTTTATTAAGTGTTGAAGCTTTTTATCACAAGTCATACAGTTGACCATTTCCTATTTTCTTTTTTATCCTTCCTTGTCCCAATGCTTAGGAGAAAACTTGGTAGAATATAAGTGAGAGCTGCACCACCTTTTAGTGGGGAAAAGGCAAGTGGCAGTGGAGAAGGATATGTGTGTGGTGGGGTCTGTCAGAGCTGTAAAATGTGAACTACGTGGACTGTCCTGAGGACTGAGGAAAATCAGTACTGAGTAAAAGTTACTGAAAATTCCAGCTGTTCAGTCTTATCTCACATAGCTCTTCACTTTAACTTTCACTGTCCTTTTTTTTCCCTGTCCTTTTTTTTTTTTTTCTCCTCTCTTTGCTCCATTTCTACGCCTATTTTGAACCTGCAACAATAAGGCCGGGGATAGGAGGCTGCCAGTATTGGTGAGTAGATTATACTTGACATACAATGAAATGCTGATTTTCACTCATCAAATCAGCGATCTTAAATTATAATAAAACTGAAAACCGTCTGGGGCATTAAGATAAATGTTCTTATCTACTGATGGCTGAGATATAATTTGATACTTTTTGAAGAAGTTGACTAAAATTTACTTAATTTAAAATACACATGCCTCATAACCGAGTAATTTTATTTCTAAGATGTATTCTTGAAGGAGTAATCTAAATAAAAATATTTATGCAGAATACATTTAATAGTACTACTATTTGTAGCGATAAAAATTAATT